TCTCTCTGTACAGACTCTGCAGTCTGGGTTTCTATCTGTACAGACCCTGTAGTCTGGGTCTCTCTCTGTACAGACCCTGTAGTCTGAGTCTCTATCTGTACAGACCCTGTAGTCTGGGTCTCTCTCTGTACAGACTCTGCAGTCTGGGTTTCTATCTGTACAGACCCTGTAGTCTGGGTCTCTCTCTGTACAGACCCTGTAGTCTGGGTCTCTCTCTGTACAGACCCTGTAGTCTGGGTCTCTGACTGTACAGACCCTGTAGTCTGGGTCTCTCTCTGTACAGACCCTGTAGTCTGGGTCTCTCTCTGTACAGACTCTGCAGTCTGGGTCTCTATCTGTACAGACTCTGCAGTCTGGGTTTCTATCTGTACAGACCCTGTAGTCTGGGTCTCTATCTGTACAGACCCTGCAGTCTGGGTCTCTCTCTGTACAGACTCTGCAGTCTGGGTCTCTATCTGTACAGACCCTGCAGTCTGGGTCTCTATCTGTACAGACCCTGCAGTCTGGGTCTCTCTCTGTACAGACTCTGCAGTCTGGGTTTCTATCTGTACAGACCCTGTAGTCTGGGTCTCTCTCTGTACAGACCCTGTAGTCTGGGTCTCTATCTGTACAGACCCTGTAGTCTCGGTCTCTATCTGTACAGACCCTGCAGTCTGGGTCTCTCTCTGTACAGACTCTGCAGTCTGGGTTTCTATATGTACAGACTCTGTAGTCTGGGTCTCTCTCTGTACAGACCATGTAGTCTGACTCTGACCCTGTAGTCTGGGTCTCTCTCTGTACAGACTCTGCAGTCTGGGTTTCTATCTGTACAGACCCTGTAGTCTGGGTCTCTCTCTGTACAGACCCTGTAGTCTGGGTCTCTCTCTGTACAGACCCTGTAGTCTGAGTCTCTATTTGTACAGAACCCTGTAGTCTCGGTCTCTATCTATACAGACCCTGTAGTCTGGGTCTCTATTTGTACAGAACCCTGTAGTTGGAGGTCCCTACTCTTAAATATCTGAAGGTGCTGTCTGAAATTAATCGCAGTTCTTTTTTCTTTGACCTTACTTTTTTTTAGCAACACCATAAGACAACGTTTTAACATTGATACTAATTAGACAAATGAAAGCAAACAGGTATATATGAAACTACTTGAGTATCAATTACATTGCCTATTCTTGGATTAATATATTCGAAGAACCAACCCTACACGACTGCTGTGAGTCAGAAAGCACTCTGCCACCCAGAAAATGTATTGATCATAAAAAAACTTACATCAGGGGAATTAAGTCATGAAAATTTATGAAGCGCACTACAACATCTATAATTGATACAAAACAGATGACAAGCATAACCTATCATATATATATATATAAACTGTGTAGTGCTTAACCTTAACAGGAGTACAGTTTAGGCTTATTACAGGCTTACCCCTGATCCTTAATTATAAGTGCACCATATAGGTATCATGCTAGAGACATCTGGCTTACTAGTCTTTACTCATTAATACACAATGCACAACTGATTGAGCTAAAGATAAGTCCTCTCTAGCCTATACTTTAAGAATGAAGAACTTTGGATATCTTGTGCTTTAAGTGAATTAAAGTACCATAATTAGAATTAATAATGAAAGATAAAGACAGGCATTGCCAGTTAGAAGAATCATTGAAATGGTTGGCAATACAGCTAATACTGACTAGGGTAAAAACAGTTGGCATTACACTGCTATTGTTGACTTAAGGACAAAAAATGGTCCGCAATACTGCTAATATTGACTTAAGGACAAGAAATGGTTCGCAATACAGCTAATATTGACTTAAGGACAAGAAATGGTCCACAATACAGCTAATATTGACTTAAGGACAAGAAATGGTCCGCAATACTGCTAATATTGACTTAAGGACAAGAAATGGTCCGCAATACTGCTTATATTGACTTAATGACAAGAAATGATCTGCAATACTGCTAATATTGACTTAAGGACAAGAAATGGTCCGCAATATTGCTAATATTAACTTAAAGACAAGAAATGGTCCGCAATACTGCTAATATTGACTTAAGGGTACAATATGGTCCGCAATACTGCTAATATTGACTTAAGGACAAGAAATGGTCTGCAATACTGCTAACATTGACTTAAGGACAAGAAATCGTCTGCAATACTGCTAATATTGACTTAAGGACAAGAAATGGTCCACAATACTGCTAATATTGACTTAAGGGTACAATATGGTCTGCAATACTGCTAATATTGACTTCAGAACAAGAAATAGTCCGCAATACTGCTAATATTGACTTAAGGGTACAATATGGTGCGCAATACTGCTAATATTGACTTAAGGACAAGAAATGGTCTGCAATACTGCTAATATTGACTTAAGGACAAGAAATAGTCCGCAATACTGATAATATTGACTTAAGGACAAGAAATAGTCCGCAATACTGCTAATATTGACTTAAGGGTACAATATGGTGCGCAATACTGCTAATATTGACTTAAGGGTACAATATGGTCCGCAATACTGCTAATATTGACTTCAGAACAAGAAATAGTCCGCAATACTGCTAATATTGACTTAAGGGTACAATATGGTGCGCAATACTGCTAATATTGACTTAAGGACAAGAAATGGTCTGCAATACTGCTAATATTGACTTAAGGACAAGAAATAGTCCGCAATACTGATAATATTGACTTAAGGACAAGAAATAGTCCGCAATACTGCTAATATTGACTTAAGGACAAGAAATGGTCCGCAATACTGCTAATATTGACTTAAGGACAAGAAATGGTCCGCAATACTGCTAATATTGACTTAAGGACAAAACATGGTCAGCTGTACCATTAATGTTTACTAGGGCAATATCACATGTATCTTCTAGGGCAAAGAAAAGAAATAGAAATACATGACTTTTTATTCATATTCCCTGTCTCTAGAACTGAGTAGAACAACAGCCTGGTGATAAAATACTTCTATGTATTTGAGGAATTCATTGCTTATTGAATAATAAATGAAAAACTTCAAGTCATGTAAAATTCTCCAGATGAAGATTTCATACATGGTTTGGTTGCATCAAACTCCAGAAATTAATCACATTTTGAGTGTGACATTTACAGAAGCACCAATGAATTGTCATCAATCCTTGTTCCCTTATAGGAAACTCAATTACCACATCTTCTAATAAAATCTGCATCAAGCAAAACATTTTCTCAAGGCGAATTGTCTCCAGATCTTTTCAGTTTACGAATAGAAAATGTTTCTAAATACAAATCATGACGTAGAATTAAAGCAAAATTACCTTGTTTGGTTAAGAATGATTAGGAATAAATGAAAGTGACTGTTTTAGAATTCAACTTATTACATGTAATTTAAAACACAACCCCAACGGGAAATCAGTTTTTACGAGAGACAAATCTGAAGCAGTCTTCAAATTAACTGCAAAGGTTATACTTCTGAATGTTAGCAGTGAATACATCTACAGCAAAACTCCCCCTAAACCAATTCATCTTAAAATCGATCACCTCTTGAAATCAAACAAATGTATAGAATATGACGTTCACTTTAATATAACAATTAAAAAACCAATTACCAGTTGCTCTCAATTCCAAACATGGAACCAATTTTGTGTCTGAAAAGATTAAATAATACAGAAATATTCTACAAAAAGCCAGTCTTATTTGAGAAACCAGCACCAGCGATCTATGAAATCAACATGTCATTCTTTGTGCCTTGGGCACATACATGTCACAAACACGCTTCGTTTACCAAACCTTCCACGACGAGGATTATACATAGAATCATACATAATTATCATCACATGACAAGATGAAACCATACCAAACCAATCAAATGTTTAACTTAAACAAGTAAAGGACTATATCAAAAGACATTGTGATAGTAAGTCAATATACTAAGCTGGAGAACTGTAGTTTTACATCTATTTGCATGAGTTACACATTGTGTTATTTTAACACATACAAAATGGAGACATACATGGAATTTGTTTTAAAAGATTATATTGTTATTCTAATTAACTGAAACTCCAGTTCATCAAATGTATCAATCTTATAGTAAACACTTTTAGACAGACTTGCAACCGTCAGCATACGGGGCACAAAAGGCATGGACATTGTCATGCACAGAATGACATTAGGAGGGCTATATCCTGGACTGGTTAACTATGTTCAATTCTGCAAACTGAGCCTTCACTTAACCAGCAAATGTCCATGTACCATACATGGTCAGTTAAGGGAAGTTCCGCTGTTGCAGTATTACATTTTTAAACACATACTTGGTATTGGAGCAAAAGTTGCCTATGTGGCACATATTAAAGCATATAGAGTCAGTGGCCTTCTAGCTTTGCCCTAACAGGATTTTCTCTTTAGCTTTCTCATTAAAGTGACGGACTAGAAAGCAAGGGGTTTTCAGGCTTATTCTCCAAGGCACACTTATGAAAACAACAAATTAAACAAAAGCAAAAAATATTTCTTTCACATACTCTCATTAATTTTTCAAAATAAGACTAGGAACTGCATGCCTGTGAAGCTTAACATTTTAAATGTATTTCAAGCCATGAAAGAATCTCGACAAGCATGCACTTATTATCAGCATAAGCTTATTGGTAAATCATTATGATACTGATGAAAGACAGTAAATGACTAAAAGTAGGTGTGGCCATGATATTGACAACCCAACAGATTTTGTTGACTTTCCTACCTGTAGTTGATATGTATTATATAGTAGTTGGGATACACATTCTCTGAATTAATGGCCAGCATGCATTTTACAGTGAATTTCAGGAAATGGTTTTATTACATTGTTATATATGCCTTTGTAAATGGATACTATGACATGAAATTTGATCCCATAAACTAGCTAAAAATTTGACCCCCACAACATATCAGCCACGTGAAAGCTAACTATACAATAGATAGGCTTGATACAAAGTATCTATAAGAAATTAACACATCTAAAATTTGATTCATCATTTTAACTAATTGTGAAGTAAGAAATACCTACCTCACAGGAATAGTTTGTCTCCTCACAAGACTTCTCTTTTATCCTTACAAACAGATCTTCACACAGCTGTAACAACAAAATATCACTGCTTCATATTTCTGATAAGAAAGTGCTTTTAATATCACATCTAATCTACATTGTAATGGTTATGATGTGTTCGGATAAACCACCTGGACTAGAATGTGAGATGAATTACTGAACTGCACTGTATTTCTTCTCAAAGTTGACAAAATCATTGCATTCCACATGCATTACTGTATAATAAATATAGATCCTAAACGTGTTTACATCTCATACTGAGATTAATAAAACAAAACTAATGGTTTTTACTTTATAGAGGATAAGACAAAATGAAAACCAACATGAAATTGTAAAAAAAAAATTCTTTTAAAAAGCAAGATTCTCTCTAAGACTGTAACAAAGTCTCTTATTAGATACTTTGCAAGTTTTTTTGAAGCATTTTACTGAACTGATTAAAAAAAAGATCAGGGTGTGTTCTCACTCAATATTTCTTTCTTTGGTGATATCACAATTCATGTGATGTTGGTAGTTATGATATCACCATTGAGAAAGTGTTGTGATTGGCCATGGGGAAATCTTCAGCCAATTAGAACTCTGCTAAGTCTTATTCAACATGTAACCACAACAGCATTCATGCAATGGGTGTTATCATACTGATGACATGGTAGGAATGTAATTTAACCATCATGGTTATATCACATAACCTCCCTTGAATTCTGGTGAAAGTTTACAGTTTTGACATAATTAACCAACTAAATTAATGAAAAAAAGAATTCTGCTGTTGTTATTATTGGTAGTGGTAGGAATAAACAAGTAACAAGTACTCGCACAAGTGAAAATCATCATCAGGTGACCCTGGTACATAACTTCAAGTACCACATCACAGAAAACTATAGATCTAAAATGAATTTTGATTCTTAAAACCTGTTTTGAATCTCACTCATGTTTCTGTCATATATTATAGTTTTTGTATATATTGTTAACATACCTGTGGGATAATTCCTTGCTGTCCTGGCTCATTCTTGCCCATCATGGTATAACTTTTGCCTGAACCAGTCTGGCCATAAGCAAAGATGCACACATTGTACCCTTCGAAGGCATGGTCAAGCATCTCCAGTCCAATGTCTTCATAGACTTGACGTTGGGAGGCGAAGTTTGGATCATCCGGCTGAAAAAAATCACAATAAGTTATTGAAAAGAACACTCTTCCTTAGTAAAATAAATTGAAAGTCATTATTCTCTGTGTCATAATTTTGATATACAGACAGGAAAATTTCAATAAATTTTATCTAACTGTGATGCAAATGTAAAATATATTCTCAACTTCTACACAATAGAAGACTTTAACACTCATCAGTAATTAAGTTTAAGTACAAAATCTTGTTTATTGTTTTTGTTCATTTTCTTTTCCTTTTTTTTTGAAAGAGAGAGATGATACAGTATTTTGTGATGAGAGGAGAAAAATACCCTAGGTTAATATTTACCGTGGTGTGTGACCAGTAAGAATAGTCAAACTCAAAAGTCTTTATCTTCTGTTCTTTGGGTCCAGCTTTTGGATTAGTTATGGCTGCAAATATTGGCAAAAATTTAAAATAGAACTTCAAACATGTACAGAAAATCACGCATAAAAATATTATTTGATGAAACTTGAAGAAGTGGCAAACTGACTACACATCTCAAAGTCAGAATTCTCATCAGCTTTTCAAACTAGATAAAATACACACAGCTACCTTAGCACCTGATCACAAATGCATACAAATATTCTGCACAACCTTTAGCCAAATCTGTGCTCTATGTAGTTAATAGTGACATAATGTTTGTAAAACACTGTAGTAGTGAAGATTCCACAATTTTTACCAATTTTCAGTAGCACTCTAGAGTTTATACATATCATACCTGAGCTTTTCCCTGACATCTGAATGATGCAGTTGGAGTTATGTGACTTTTCTCGTCCATTAAATGGCCGCACTCGCACAGCAACTTTTACAGACGACATCTTACTGCAAAGTAATATATTACCAGGCATGGTCTTATTGCACAATCAATACTTTTATATTTACACCAGCAACCAAAAGATTATAATGAACTTGATCATTAATTCCCCTGAGATTTTTACCTTAACTTGCAGTACATCTATAAACAGAACAGACTCATAGAGCGGGTTATTTTTGCAGGGATGATAATTTCACTTCATTAATGTTGTAGCAAAAGTTTCAATCCATGAAGTAATTAGACAGGTGTATAAGATGTTCTTTTACATCCAGATGAAATTTTAGTTTGTTAATACATTGTCAGTTAAATTTAAAAGAAAGTGTGGAAATTTGGACTTTTGAAAACTACTAGCTATACAATATATAACATAATAAACGCAACTTACTAAGGCAAGTTTTTACCATTATCGCTCACTATCAGGCTATACATGTAAAGGTTTAAAAAGAAATTTGAATGCCCTGTTCCATACAAATTACCAAATAACAGTGACTTTGACCTGAAACTTGATCATATCTATCTCAACACAGGAATTCTTAGACCACTTTTACTGTTCAAATGACATACATGACCTTGACATTGCCTCGACCGTATATCAATGTGTAAGCATGTCTTACCATTACACTGGGAATTACATTTGTTATTAAATTAATAATCTGACCTTGTAACTGGTATATCTATTCCAACTACATTAAAACAATATCATGCTATATGCAACATTCAGCATTATGACCTTTAACCTTCAAAATTTTACCTTGATTAATTTTCAAGCTTTAACCAAAATACCGATAATATCACTTTTAAACCATATTTATATTTTGTTATGGATATTAAACAATATTGAGAGGATAATAAACATGATTTCTATGATCTTGTATTCAACACTGACCCAACAGGAAATTATCACTGCATTTCTTATATGATGCAGCAAAAAAACACTGATCAATATTTCAGAAAATCTTATCACTGTTCCAACTGAAAAACTAATAATATAAACTCTAACCCAATAAAGATGACAGCTGAAGGTCAGCATCAAAAATTGTTTGTGTGTATTAAGATTGAAGAAAAACATTTTTTCTTGACTTTAATAAAGACATACAGCATTAATTCTTCCTATGGGTAACATCCAAAATACATAAGTACTTCAGTAGAGTAATATTTTCACACTGTATTGGGTCAGTAATGGGTTCATACTATATCTGGTCAGTAATGGGTTCATACTATATTTGGTCAGTAATGTGTTCATACTGTGCCAGGTCACTAATGTGTTCATACCATATCTGGTCAGTAATGTGTTCATACTCTGTCAGGTCACTAATGTGTTCATACTTTATCTGGTCAGTAATGTGTTCATACTATATCTGGTCAGTAATGTGTTCATACTGTGTCAGGTCACCAATGTGTTCATACTATATCTGGTCAGTAATGTGTTCATACTATATCTGGTCAGTAATGTGTTCATACTATATCTGGTCAGTAATGTGTTCATACTATATCTGGTCAGTAATGTGTTCATACTATATCTGGTCAGTAACGGGTTCATACTATATCTGGTCAGTAATATGTTCATACTATGTCTGGTCAGTAATGTGTTCATACTATATCCTCAGTAATGTGTTCATACTATATCTGGTCGGTAATATGTTCATACTTTACCTTGTCAGTAATGTGTTCATACTATATCTGGTCAGTAATACATTCATAATATATGCAGTCAGCAATATGTTCATACTTTACCTGTCAGTAATGTGTTCATACCATATCAGATCAGTTTAATTACCTCCTATTTAAACATTTCTCTTGTATTGGTCTCTGCTTTTACAAGATGGTGGTCTCAGTTGAAAGTAAATAGACAAGGGGAACATACTGACATGTATTGAAGTACAAAACCATCGAAACGATCTAGCTATAGTATTACATAATATATTAGAAGACAACAATCACCTGTCTACGCTGACGACCTGTCTATAAAAACCATCTACCTATACTTTTACATGACCTTTCATATGACATTAATCACCTGTCTATAATGACCATCTGTCTATAAAAACAATCTAGCTATATGTTTACGTGACCTGTCATATGACATCAATCACCTGTCTATAGTGACCATCTGTCTATAAAAACAATCTAGCTTTACGTTTACATGACCTGTCATAGGACATCGATCACCTGTCTATAGTGACCATCTGTCTATAAAAACAATCTAGCTATACTTTACATGATCTGTCATAGGACATTAATCACCTGTCTATAGTGACCATCTGTCTATAAAAACAATCTACCTGTACTTTAACATGACCTGTCATAGGACATCAATCACCTGTCTATAGTAGTGACCATCTGTCTATGTAAATGTATGACTACCTTCTCCATATAAAGAAATATGACAAACATGGCCAATATACAGACACCTGTCTATAAAGGACACATATTTATATCTATATCAAATACAATACTTATAAAAACAAGATCTCAACACTGCATTGGTCATAACTCGCCAAGCTAAGTGCTGACATGACACAAATGAATATTTTTGTTTTGCCTGCTGTCCAAGAAATATATACATATCAAATAAAATATCTTTAAAAAAATGCAACAAAACATGGAAAAAGAAATAGAAGAATTCAATACAAAAAAGTAATTAGGAAGATTATATACAGGGAGGACTCATACTTATCACTGTGAACAATTCCAAACAGCTTGCAACAGTGAACTGTTGTGAAAATGGGGAGTATTGGCCAAAGAATAAGATCTAGAAATAAAGAATTGGACATACCTTTTCTTGTTCCTTGTTTAAACTTTAAAAATATTCAGGAGGATTATGAATCTAAGCTTGATGAGTCTCTACAGATACAAGCTGGGTATACGATCCATTTTGGTATGGCGGCCCGTTATTGCAGGTATCCCAGGAAAGTCTGATTCGGAGGCTGGTATCCGACAAGAAATCCTCCACCTGGTTTTCTCTTTCTCCTCTCACAACTCCATATTGACACTGAAGTTAAATAGATATAAAAAAAGGTTATCGGAAAGTCCAATCCACTGACCAAATGTTCCACTTGGCGGCAATATGGCGAAAACGATCGCTAAGATTTGGTAGTGCTCTTATGATAATTTACACAGTATAACGTCATGTCTCTGAGTATTGACTCATTTGGATTCTTATTATAATATTGGACGTCACTTCGATCCATAGAAAACACATCGAAATTAACATAATTCACCCAAAATGCTGAACGAGCAGATTTGACGAATCCTAAAACATAACACATGAGCTGCTGTAAAAATCCGATATTCAGTTAAGCCAGCAGACCTGGTCACCAGTGATATCTTATATAAATACTGATCAACAGTGGCTGATGTAAATACTGATTCTACAGAACGGGTCTCTCACAAACTTATAATCTATTATGTTTATATTTCTGTGTTGTATGATGTAACGTCTGGACTTGTAGCCTGAAGGCACTACTGGAATTCAGTTTCTATGTGACCTTCTGATGTATTTACACGACAAAGTAAAGTGTGATTCCTACAATATCATTCCTCCGTCATTCTACAAGCTTACCTTAGCAGGGTGTCCTAAAATCCAAGTTGAACATAAGCCACTTTTTGTGCTAAGTCTGAAGCACACCAGGAACAGTTAAGCTATATCTAATGAATATGTAATGCACTTCCAATCAGAGGTGCACCCAGGGAAAACATCCTCACATTCATTGGAAACAAAATAAATTTTGGTAGACTGACATTTCCCATGATATTGTGAGGAAAGGAGTACTAATTTTCCTGTGAGTCCTTGTAAGAATATATATATAAGTATGTATACATATGTGTTCAGCTCATACCTAGATTAATGAATAATAGAGCACAAAATATAGATAATTGGTGTAAAATCAATGGAAAAGTCTGCAACTAAATAGGGCAACCAAACATTGTCAATCAATATATAGACTTCACAAAACAAGGAATGGTACCATTATGCTCCTGACAAGCCAGCTGCTATGACATACAAATAGTGAATGTTGAAACAATTTCAAAACAAATTTGTTAAAACAGCCATTAATCAAGAATCTGGCATTTATGAAATTCTCTCATGTTTAAAAAATTTGGAATTTGATTAAAATTCTTGGTAAATTTCCCTTTGGAACCTCATAGTACCATTCCCTTTAGTAGTTAGGGTGATGTCATGTTGTTGGTGGGAGAGATTATTGATTTTTCTTGGAGAGAAATTCTGCGTCAGAAGCAGAGATGAATCCATTGATCTAACAGGGATACAAGGGCACAAGCCCCAGTGACAGATCAATCAATACATGCTATTATAAATATATAATATTGCACAGACCATTCTAAGCTTGGTTGATTTGGCCAGCTCACCAGGCATAAAAATTTTGGAGGTTTCAGATCAAAATCTTTAATAATCATCTAATCTCAAAAATACAGACATGAAAATATGAAATTTGGAAAAATTGAACGATTCTTTTTTCATTTTATTTTATTCATATCTTAACAAATATTATTCTCTAAGACACAAAATGACCAAATACACATTAAGACCTAACCAGTCCTCAAAACTATGTAATGTGTGGGAAATCTGAAATGTAATTAACGTACTAGCTTAGACATATCAATTCAGGTCTGCTGCAAAATTTAAATGTGTTAAACTTGTTAAAGTTCTGATCTATCAAAGTAAATTACACAACATTGCTTTAAGTTTAAATAATTACAAAAACAGCAAAGTATGTCTGCATGAATCATTCTATTTTGCTTCTCAAGGTCGTTGAACAAAACATGTTATGGTTAGTTGGGTATATATATGTTTGAAGCTAATCAACTCATCTGATGTTTAAAATCATGCACAGTCAGTAAAAATAAACAATGTTTGTCACATTTCTATATTATCTATATGATACTGTCTGCATTGTTTTCATAACTGACAAAAGTCGTATGTAAAATTTTTCTTAAAACTTGATGAAAAAAGTGAATTGAAATTTTTTTTATATTATTGCTTAGAAGAAACATACCATAGTATCATTTTCTCTGATCATGAAGGCAAAGTGTAAACTATCCAATGTTAATGTCATGTTGGATTACAATATTGTGTAATAAGGGTTATAATAGATACTCATGTTTATAACAGATCAACGTTTAGACAATTCTGTTAATTTTTCAGGTAATAAGTAAAAAGTAGACAGAGGACTATAAGAAAAGCAGTTCCAGTAATTTTGATAAAAGTCTGTTTCCCTTACAGAATTTGAAATTCAAGATATTATGGTTATATAAAACTTCATTGGGTAAAAATCATGAGTTATGAAAAAACTGAAAATGGTGGGGGATGTTGACAGCTACAAGCAAAGAAGCAACCACTTTTGTTTACTTTCTATCCTGATGATCACATCAAAAACCAGGTACAGACTCTTTTAATTACTTATTACATTTACCGTTACATTGTATTTATTTAATATTTACTTGAGTACTCAAAAGATAGGAGAACCAACATTCCAAATATTTCAAATAGCAACATCTTGGATGGAAGCTTTGCATTGTTTATCAAAGTCCATTCCTATCTGATCAACATGTAACATGGACTTAAAGACTTCTCAACTTCCAACAATAATTATCTTCTTTATTGTGATTTTTGATGTCATCAACATGTTTCGACCACTATGAGGCCATCATCAGGATGACTTTCATAAGCCTTGAAGTATAATTTTGCAGCTTAAGATGGTTGCAGTTGTTTGGTAAACATTGAGACATTACAGATACATTGAGGAGCCTTCATTTCCACATATCATATTTGAATTATAATGCTACGTATCCCCGTCTTCAGAAGAATCATGGTACATGTAACCCGAGATCTTTAATCTTGAGTAATATCTACTTCAAAACTTATTAATTTCCTTCTAATTACTTCAATGAAACTCAAAGTTTGGTAATATTGTAACACAAGCCACAATAAAGCCCTATATCAGAGTATATGATAATAATGAAATGTCAAATTGCAAAAAGATATAATATTTGTGGTTTTATCTGACTTATTGGTAATCAGTTAAGTTAACCAGTTTAATCAAAATATGAGTAACCAGTTATGGTATATACTCAATGTTTGTATTTGAATGTTTGTCTATTATGAAGTTCTCATTAGTTATTTATACATTTATCTCTAGTGTGATTTCACTATCAATACTTCGAATTTGTCTTATATTTCATGATGCCTGTAACCACATAGTAAATCAAGCCGACACAGCACAGTCTACATATTTATTTATTAAATAAACATTCATCATAAATGATATCTGATTTATAAATTTAAGTTGTCTGGAGAAACTACCTCTCTTAAACACTATCCCCCACCTCATCCCACTCTCCTAACCCCTCCTCTCCTCACATTCCAATGATCCCATCACTCCTTTCTTTCTGACCCCCTCCTCTCCACACTCTCCATCACCCCTTTTTCTACCCTCCCTTCATCTTTAGATTGTGCGAGTGCAAGTGAGAATGATCCAGTATATAATTATCGATTAATGAATCAGAGTTTATGGGGTTTTCATGCACATGTATTGTGTATGTTTGTTTTACATGTAAATTCTTCAAAAATAAAACAAAAAAAAAAATAAAGAAATGAAAAAAAATTCACAAATTTCATTGAAAAAGAAAGCTAATCAAACTTCATTTCTTATTTTGATGACATTCACAAACAATTTGATAAGAACATTGTAATAAACGTATGCTGTGAAATTCCAAAATTCCAAATGATACAATTGGTAAGTAAATAATGGCTACGTTCTTGTCAGGCCCTACCGTTTCATACTATTTTCTATAAATGGTCGAGTGAACTCATTAATGCCTAGCCTTTGTTAAAGCAGAAGGGTGCTCATAAGGCCAAATATGGTAACTGAGACTTAGATGAATATGTGGTGTGAGCTATACAGGCCTATTTGACGTCAAACAAAACGACAACTTCCTGTGATTCTCTAATGTCAAAAAGAAAGATCACGGGTAACAAAGACAGAACGATCGACCGTAAGTTAGTTTGAATAATCAACTTAACAAAATTTTCAATGCTGGCAATGCAGTGTTTGATGGTTGATCCCTCAAAGCATTTTACAGAACACGTTTTTTAATAAACTTGTATAAATATAAAAAAAAAAAAAATGCAAAAAGATGAAACTTGAAAGGGTATCAAAGACAGAACGATTGACATACTCAGAGATACATGTAGATAGTGGTTAGTGATGGGTCATGGATATGGTTATTTCAGTTGCAAAGTTCAATATCTGTCATGGATATGGCCAGTTTAGCTGCATAGTCCAAAAACTAACTTTTGTGGCTGTGAGGTTGAGTCTCGAGTCTATGTACCTAAATTAATAAATGTCGAGCAATTGGATGGATGACAGCTGCTCTGTTGTACCCTGGTACTCAATACCTTGTGGCAGCAAATGAACCTGGTATTCCATATAGTGTTCTTGGACAGTATGGGAAACACAATGTTTGTGGAAACCTGTTGGGGACTTTGGGTTCTAGTCCTGAGGTGGCACCATAATAACAAGAGGGTCAGTTGTGCATGCTGAGAAAGTGTCAAGTTCAACCTACACAATCTTTAGGGTGAAGCTCATTAGAGAAGGGGCAATATAGGTAACAGTTTTTGGATATGGGCATTTTATCTACGTATTTAGTTCAAAAGCTACCTTCCCAGACTGTGTGGTTGACTGTTCCATCATATCCCTGGTGCACCTTACAGGTTGATGTTTAGGACAGAATTTCTTACTTATTTTGACAAGTTAGGTTTCAGGTAATGCTATAAAGTTTGAGTTGGGGAGGGG